TGAAGATCTGTGGTTTGAAATGAGTGTGTGAAATATATGTTGCACAGGCTACAGACACATGAATGAAATGACACAGATGAATACAGAGACACATCGCTGTTCTACCTGGTCGCTGTCCTAATAATTTGTGTTCAATCTCATTCTGTGACAAAGAAAGAAAATCGAATTGTCAATCGTTATTTGAGTTTATTGTTAAATCCCTAATGCAGAGGTTAAGAGCTGATGACCACATTACAGGAGAAACCTCAGAGAAAGACTCATTTAACTTTATATGGAAAAATAACTGATAAATACTTTGAATAACAGCTCAGTTTAGATGTATGCTGATGTCATCTCCCTCCCCAGGAGAAGAGTGTTTCAACATATATGAACCAGAAATATTTCATTTAAATGGGGCCTGATAAGATCATAAGAGCGTTCTTATATAACAATTATAAACAGGGTGGGCTGAAACTGGTGAACCTTAAAGACCTAAACTTTGCATTAAGTTATTACATTATTCTAAATCGGCAGTTATTGATGTCTGTTAACCCTATCTGCTGAACTCTGTCCTTACCTCCAGTTAACTGCCTTTCAATTTACTGTATTACAGAGAAAATATGTTCTATATTTATCAGGGTTTTGGAAGATGTCATAATTTCGATACCGATATCATCAACCAGAATATAATTACGAAATCAAGTGGAAATCTATTATCAAGAAACAACCTTTATGTGTTAAACGGATGTTTGATAAAGGAATATTGTTGATTATTGACCTCTTGAACAGTCGAGTGGAATCATGTCTTCTTCTATAGAAGAAATGGTATGCTGTCCATGTATTAGGGACCAACATGGATGAGCAAGAGAAAAATAAACCAGAAAAGATATAAATTATAAAATAACATATCTGCTGCACCGACAGCTATTTGATCAAAATGCGAGAATTTATTAGACAAATGTATATTTTATATTTATTTAATCAATAAATGCTTAATAAATGTGCCCCTATGTATTCAACAGTGTGGGTGATGTTGATTTTGTGAAGAGGAAGAACAGTCAGATATTTTGGTGTTGTAAGGAAGTGGCGTTAATTTGGATTAAAGTTTAACATTTAATATTTAACAATTTTAAAAAGATAAATGTTGTAATAATATTATTCTAATAATATGATAATTTTCTTTGTGTTTGGCTGCACAACATGAGTTTGTAAGAGGAGCCACTGGGGAGCCGGGCCCAGGACTGTAGATGGGTAGCTGACAAAATGCCCGAACTACCGGCTGAGTTGCGAAGCCAGGCAGGCATGCGTGGGCCATGCATTGATTTAACCGGAGGGAGCTGCGTGCCCCAGGCGGCGGTGGTGAGTGTTGGTTACCCCCAGGTCGGCGAACCGTGGCCAGCCTGCGTTGTGGGGCGTTCCACGGGAGGTCCAGTGGGTCGGAAACGGGGAAGGCCGGAAGACCTGGCGGAAGAGCGCGGAGCACAGAGTCGAGAGAAAAACACAGGCCGGAACGGAGGTTGGGTCCAAAGCAGGAAACCGAGGTGCCTGGCCGTGTGTAAAGAACGGGTCGAACAGGGTCGTGGCGAGGCCG